CCACTGGTCCTGCGTCCGTTCCATAGCGGCCGTAGCGGCCGTTCCAGACGGAAGCGCATTTGATTTGCTTGGTATCGAGCTATAATTGCGATTTTATATTGCAAGGACAAGGCCTGCTGCAGCTTCTGAGGCGTGGGGCCAGCTGGTGTGATATTGGGCTGTCAAAAACAACGCACGACACGCCGGAGACAAGAGAGTGTTTCTGATCTTCTGCTTCTTCTTCTCAATACTATCACTTTCTCTACCTGTCTCTTCTTTCCCACCAGGAAGACGAACTCCGAGACATAGATGGAGAGACACATTCAGAACCCAGAACTCCGGAGTAGGGCTCCTGCTTTGGGACCCTTGGAGGTCCAGAACATACTATTTATCATCACCGCCTAGTAAGGCTTGCAGGGGTGGATATAACGTGTAGGGTTCAAGGTCAGTTCAATGATCTAGACACGAGTTACAAGGTGAAGGGGGATGAAGTTGGGGGGGGGGGGGGGGAAGGGGGGGAACTGAAATCCATCACTCCTAGTATTACCAAGAGGCCTTAAAAAAATTTTGATTTACTATACGGAGTACAGAGTATACTCATATGAGACCCGTTTGGTAGGGCTTGGAGATGGAGGCTGATCTGTTTTCAGTCACTTGCTTGATCTACCCGTCTTCTCACATAAGCTATTCAGCTCTTTCTGGTAGCCTCCGGCGATGGGTGGTGTCTCGATTGAAAAATACTTAAACAAAGTTGGCAGGAAAGGCGTGGAAAAAATGGAATGAAGAAATTGCACCACCACTTTGGCTGTATTATACATTTGTTCATATCACGAGTATGCATGCTAAAAACCAATGCATACCAGCATAGTGGATGGTGGGGGGGTTCAATATGCCTAACGGTCTGAGCAAACAAGCCAGGGAGTCTGGTGCAGTGAGTGCTCTTGCATTTTCAGCGTACCTTCGTGTTTCAAGTAATCGAATCTCCTTTCTTTCAGTTGAGAAAAGCAAATTCTTCATCTCAGTCTCTCATTTGATGTTTGCCCTTATGGAACAGGAAGACAGAAGAGAAGGTCTTCAGGCTCCCATGAAAGGTGCTGCACCTCTACAGGGGTAATCACGTATGCCAGCGTTATGACCTGGATGTGGATGGTCAAATAGAGAAATCTCCAATTTCAAAACGTACGTGCGCAACCATGTTTTCCCCGTATCCCGACATCTGACAGGTTCGCACACTCCATGCACTCTGGATGATGACCCCCACGCAACCAGCAGATTGCTGCTGCTCTACAACATGTACAGTACAGACAGAGACGAAAACGCTCCGGCATGAGCGGTCGTTATCTACCCAGCCACAGAAAGCAATGCAAGGGCAAAAGCAGGAACAAGAATAGGGCAAGAAACAGAACCGTTTTTCCGCGTCGGTTCCCTTTGACATTTTTCTTTCGGAAGCGTCAGCGCTCGGGATGGCGTTGGGATAACAGTGTAATATGAGACACGATGTGACAACGTATAAAATGTGGAAGTCAGCCTGGTTGCGATCGGATCCCGCTTGGGTGTAGAGAGTTTTGCCATCCCCAACGTTTTCATTTTTTTCCCCCATGATTTTGGGCTCAAACTTCAACCCTAAGACTTGTTCTCGAGAATGATGTCGGCGGCGTTGGGGAGTGCGTGCCTGGCAACTCCTTAACCGCCTGGGCACTGGGCAGCGACGTATGTATTGGAACGGGAATTATTCCTTGGCTGTCCACGTCTCTTGTCTTGTTCGACCTGATGTCCACTTGACGATTGTTGCCAATTGCCCAATGGCCGCCTCATGGTGCCTGTCCTGGATTTCTAGAGTGCTGCCCTTCTTGAACCAGTCATCAGCATGATACTAGTATTCTCCGCGTTTTCTTTCGCCGAGAAATTGTGACAACCCTGGGCGTGAAAACGAGGCATCCTGACTGTGCGCACAGCTTGACCGAGTCTCGTTCGGTCCACCCCAGGGGCTGTGACTGCATTTTCCGCCTGGAGGGTTCCATCGTAGCACGCGTATTTCTCACTCCACGTTTCCTGGTCGAAAGGAAGCTGGCCTGTCGTCAGGCACTCGGAGACATCGTCTCGGAGCAGAATTGACCAAACAGAGACCAGCCATTAAATATTGCCCTGAATTCGTCTCCACCCTAGCATTCTCTTCTCCCGAAACACACATGTCCTGCTGTCATACGGCAAATGTCACAAGTTGCCCAGTGCAGCGATCCAATTAGAGTTTTTCCATCAGGAGTTAGCAGGGATGGGGAGACAGCCATCACATCCAGCTGTCAAGCAGCTCAAGATTGATCGTCAGGGCACCCGAAACGCAGTCGAGAGTAGTCCCGAAAGGCTTGATTGTTATCCAGTGGTTTTGGGTACTGCCCTGTCTAAGTTCTTTTTAAAAGTCGAGGAACAAATGGAAGAGGCGACGGGGCAACCTTTCCGCAAGGCACTACCTCCAATTATGTTTTCCTTTTTCTCTCCTTTTCGGAATTTCTAGTTCGTAGAGGAGCTAACTAACTTACGGAGCTATATTCCTTGCAAAGCCAGAGGCCCGAGCTTGGTTGGAATACTCCGTATGCGAGCTTTGTTTTCTGTGTTTGATCTCTACTTTACGCCGTGTACGCTGATGACATACTCGACACAGACCGGATCATTCTCCCGCAATCCAGGCAGAATATACTTCATCTGTTGCCCAAGGGCAATGACGACATATAGTTGCTTCCTTCATCACATCTTCAACCGCCTCCCTGGCTGGTGAGAGGCCTGGGCCTCGTTTTCCCTTGTCTTTCACATCGGCTATTAACCACGTTACGGAGTCCTTGTGAGAGGAGAATCCAATGCTCCCAACTCATTCCTGCTGGGGAGTTATCCTTTGGAGGAGGAAATCCTCTTACGTGCTCAAACAATGATTTGTAAAAGTGCAAACCGCCTGTCTTCTCCAGGAATTCATCGCGCTCACACTCTTTCAAAAAATGCTAACTGAGATTTCACGGAATAAGCTTAATGGCACATGTTCTACACAATGATCTCAAGCTGATAATATTACGTGCTTCAATATCTCGAGTTCTTTGAGTTGCTACCCCTTCCCAACATGACATGGATGGATCGAAGCGAGGGCTGGATGCCAGGAAACTCTCAATTTGGTTTGCATGTCCTGTACATTGTAATATGTGCTACACGCAGTATACAAGACGCGAAGCAAGTCGCACTTTATAAGATGAAAGATTACATGGGTTTATTTTTATTTTATTTTATTTTTTTTTATTTTTTTTTTTTTTTTTTCATTTTTGGGCGAAGGCTTCCCCTTGAGTCTCTTTTTACATTCGCGCGCACTTACTTAGCCGACGACCATGTAACTAAGTCTGACGGTATGACAAACTGACTGCACGAGAGATTCAATCATCGTCTCAAAACATTTCTTCTCCTTCTTTTTCGTTTCACTGTGCCCATGGCAGCCTCAAGTGCTCTTTCTTTTTCAAGGATGGGACTTGTAGAGTACTCAGTCTCCTGGTCCACGATATGTACTGTACAGCATACTTCGGCGCAAGGACGATAACAAGAACCGTGCATACCTGGTCTTTGCTTTGTGATGTCTGTTCTTCTTCCGGTTTTGTTCCCCCAACCCCACAAATTCTAGAACTATGCGACAAGCGCACCCACAAAACTCAGTCTTCCCCACCGAGCCAGCTCGAACGCCCTGCCAGCCCGTCCCATTGCACTAAAAACCGATCCACAAGCGGCAGCACTATCTTCCCTGATAAACTAAGCGTAGTGACGCGTGCCCATGATTCGACGAATACGGTGCGTAGATATCTTTCCTGGGGCCTGGGAAAGGACTGCGATTGTTGTGACGGTTTTTGTCGGAAGGAGTTACAGAGGAGGAATATGGAAATGGAGGCGACGGCACGTAGGATCCTTGCAGCCAGGATGACGCAGACGGCGGTGGCAGGGCCATTTGTCAGGATTATGTCTGGATAGGGTGTTGTTGGTGGGGTTAGCCCCGTTGAGGTTAGAGCTGGCAATGGAGAGGATATATCATGACCCTTCTGCGGTTGTTGATCGGGATGTGTGCCTCGGAGAACATTTATACAGGCCCACAGGCAATGAAGGGTCGATACCGGCGCTGTCAAGAATGATTGATGTACCTTTCTTGCGCGAGGAACGGTGACGATTGTATATGATGACGAAGGTGTTTCTGATAGTGTTTTAGAGGCAGACGAATCTGGAGGCTTCCTTTCTTCAGGCTTCTTCTTCTCCTGTCGGCGGCGTTTCTGCAGAGTTGTAGGCGGAGACGGGATTGGCCCTCTTTTACTAGTGGCAGCAGTAACAGCAGGAGAAGCAGGAGGCAAATGTTGCTCAAGAAGGTCCTTCTCAAATTCCGTAGCTTTGAGAGCGCTGAATGAGTCCCCTGAGCTGACGACATAGGTGCGGTGGGTGAAGATATTAGGATCCAGAGGCGCACGCGCTAACATGGACAGCATTTCTGCTGTGTGCCCGCCGCTGCCCAGAACGACGAGAAGGTGAGCATGACGGGATGCATTTTCTCGGCTCGACGGCGGTCCATCAGTATGGCTATGGCTACCATTGGATGTGCGATAATAGAAGTAACAGGTAATCTGGAAATTTGGTTAGCCGAAGTTCGTTCGTGCGTAGCTAGGATGTAACATCTCCGGCCCATGAGATGAACTGAATGAATGCAGCAACTCATTCGGTGAAGACAGGAGCGTTACCAGCCAAATACCCAGGGCACCTGTCGTAAGCCCGATGGACACGAGAGTCACCAAAGCCATTGGAAGTGAAGGTGATGCCGTGTTTCGAGGTTGGTCCGGAATAGATTCACGTTTTCAATCATTCCACGGACTTCGGGTTGAGTCTAGTCCCTCACAAACAAACAAGATAGATAATATTAGAGATTCCAATCATATAGTATGCGATTAGGAGACTAGCTCCCGAGTGAATGGCCGTAGAGAGGACTATATTCCCCAATCCCCAATGCTGTGTCTGACGCTGTCAATGGTCATTCACATAAGAGCCCATTGATCGCATTGTGAAGAATCGACTATTTAGCCGGGCCATAGAAGTATTGAACACCTGTGAATTCCCGCATTCATTAGTTGTCGTATTTATCTATTCCCTCTCTTTCAAGCAAACAGTGGATGGTGTGGATTGTATAAATATATAGCGCCAATTCCTTCTCCAGGCGACGCTGCCAAGCTTCTCGGCGATTGCTGTGTTGACTTGGCTTAACTCCTCCGCGTTTATTTATCTGAGAACATAAACAATTATATTGCCCTTCCCTTTGTGCACGCCAGCGACACTGGACCCCCAACGCGTTGTCGCATGTCGCATGTCGACGGCCATGCCATCCCTCTTCAAAAAGCGACTGAGCTGCTTCTACTGCGGCGTTCGATCTGCTCAGTCGCAGTCCGAGTCCCTCCGCAAGTGGCAGTGTCAACATTGCCTGGCAGTGAACTACCTTGACGAGGTGAGCGCGTTTTGATATCCTATCTCACCTTGCGCGATTGATATTGATCAAAATAGCATGGCGAAATCACCGATCCCCCGGTTATCGAAGCTTCCTCGGGCACTCGATATACACAATACGCACAACCACTCCCCAGAGCAAACTCTCTTGAAATCGCAGAGCCGGACTCGTCGCTGTTTTGTTCAACGTGTTTGAAAAACCAGCATCTCCTCACCCAGACTCTTGCTTCATACCTACCGTCACCGTCGCATCCTGACTATGAAGTCTATGAAGTGTCATATCCCGCGTACCGGAAGAGTTTAGAGGAGCGCTACCCTCAAGTCTGCGAGTCCTGCGAGCCCAAGGTGCGCGATCGCATCCGACAAGCTGGATATGCGGCGAAGTCGGACCACCTGATGCGGATGATGGAGAAAAGCCGGGCTTTCCGACATACTCGCCAGGCGAATCGCTGGAGCTGGAGGAGCATGATAGTTTTCGCTGGTGCTGTTTGCTTCTGGGCTAGCGTTGCTGGTCAACTTGCCTGGAACCTCATGGGGACAATGGTTGCTGGCAACGCCCCTCAGAACTTGGAATCCGATCTGTCATTAAGGCTGGTTCCATTTTGTGTTGACAGGCTCTGGAAGCATCAACCGCTTTTCCGCGAATGTTCTTCAGTTCTGACGCCAGTTGCAGGACTGGCTTTGTCCCTAGCGATCCTATCAATTTGGTGGAATCCGAAACTTAGGCTTAAGGTGAATGGGAGAGGTGGACGATTGACTGGATTGGGCGAGTATTACAAGGCCCAAATCGTTGTTCTTGTGATTAGATTTGTCGCTTGGGCTTGTTTACAGGACCCTTCAATCACTGGCCTCAATCCCAAGATTGCTCCTGCTATCCATGGTTTCATGGGCATTTTTACTGTAATTGTGAGTTTCCCTAATATCGTGAAGTCTTAATCGTATAATTGCTAACTCGTATGATAGTCTGTGATAGTGTCGAGACGGGTTATCAAAAATGATACCACTCCGCTTATCTCATGGAAGGAGGACGACAAACCTCTGCTACCCCAGAAACCAAGAGAGGAGCATTCAACCCAGTTACAGCTTGCGAGCTCGCCGGACTCTCAGACCTCGTTTCTTAATTCACAGGCTAGCTTACATCGGTTCCCGGTTAATAGGCTTTCACCGGCTACACCAACTGCCCCGGAGCCATCTATTCCGCCGTCCCCCCAGACAGATATCGTTGATGGCGCCGATGCGATGGACTGGACACCATCTCAACAATCATTGCAATTAAGCGTTGCCCCCAAACCTATTCCAGTTCAACAACAAAATAAGTTGCCGTCAGCCCAAAAGCCACCTTTGGGATTACCGAGCCCGGGCGCAGTCCAGTCCATTCTCAAAGCCCTAGGACATAAACCTAATCCATTCCATAATGCCCCAGTTTTACAACCAAAATTATCAGCCAGCAAGGAGAGCAAGGCTGCATCGTCGTTGGAAACTATTATGGTTCCTCCAAGGTTCTTTCCCCCAAGTGATTTTGCAAATGATACAGGTCTGGAGAGCCTCTTCGACAAAGCCTTTTCGATTAGAGATGAGCCACTAGATTTACAGAGGCAACAATGGGCTGTTAGGTCAAAAGAGCATCCCGGCAGTTCCTTTCAAATTCTGAAACGGGTGTTGCTTGCAACTTCCGTCTTTATTTTCCTTGTTGCAGGGGTGTTTAGATGGCCTAGAAACTCTGTCGAAACCGCAATCCTAGGAATCTCATTTCTTGTTGCGGGTTTCTCCCTCCTTGAGTCTCTTATGAGGCCCCTAACTACCGGGAATGCAGTCAACCTAATCCTATCAATTATCGAACTGATTGCGTGCATCTATCTAGCCACTTATCGCTACCAGGGTCTATATAATCAGTACAAATTTGACGCTGCAGAAAAATCGATTGTGGCTTTCATGATAGGACAGGAAGTGAGGGCTCAGGACTCATTCTCTCAACGAAATACAAACCGGTCGCCTCAAAATTCGACGAAGCAACCACCTCTGGACAAAAAATCACCACAGCAAACCTGCCAATTAAACCAACCTCAATCTCAAACATACGAAGACCCTCACAAAAAAGTACCCAGTTTTTCGTCCTCTAACCAACAAACGCTCATTTCATCTGTGAACCACCCTGGCATCAAACCGAATTCCGGTCTCGGAGGCGGACACACCACACCATCTACCACCATCACCACCATCAACAACAACAGCAACAGCTTTATGACCAGCTTCAACGATTCTACGCAGTACCACCACAAGGCTCTCACCGAACACAATCATAAACCCTCCTATAGTCATTCTACATCTCTCTCCAGCGATCCAACAGCAACCCATCCAGCCCCTTACGCCTCAATTCCCCGCCAACAACCTTTTGTTTCCTCCTTTCCCTCCTTCCCGTCCTTCAACTCCACCCTTCCGGACAGCCTCCGTTTCTCACCACCCTCAACCACCACATCTACTGCCTCCATCAGCTACGCATCAGATACTGCCTCTGAATCCCCTAGCCCTCGGCAGAAATATACATCTCTCCCTCCTCCCTCTCCAGGCAGGCGCCTCCCCAGCCCAGGAATTAGTCGGTTGACTCTGGAAGATGATCCGTGGTTGCAAGGGCAACAACAAACGCAAACTCTGGCACGGGTACAAGAACAAGTGCAGACGCAATCACGGCCGACACGGTATGCGTTGCGGTCGCGTCGTGCTTGAACTCCGTAGGTTGATCCTGCGCCCTCTTGTCATGACACCAATTGAGCGCTTTGCGATCGTAGTTTTTACCGCTACGGTTCGGGGCCACGATGCAGAGAATGTTTGAGCGTTTTTCAAGAAATTAAACATGATGTATATTTTGATGAAAATTGTTAGGCGTCAGGTATATGTTTTTATTACTTCTGGATTCTATATGTATTTAGATTAGACACAGCAGCACCTCATTGATTTTTAGAAAATGATATTGAAAAAATATTACGAGGGGTATTGCTTGTCTCTTGCAATGCTGCCACATAAGATTGAATCCCTTTTACAAGCCAAATTGGCCAAACCGATCCACCAACTGACTTGTGGCTGAAAGGGTATTAAATTTATGGTGTAGAATTTGTAACAATCAACGGACCATCTCATGCCTTGAATAACCTTAACCATGAAGACTATATAGGTTGATCAAAAACTTGAACATAGTGAACTAGTATAGCCATAGTTCCAGCGCATCACTCCGCAGCATAATGAAGACAACCCGTCTCGTGTCCATGTGTTGCACCGCAAGCCTCCATGGCCAGAAAAAGAAAAGAAAAGAAAAGAGAGAACCTTGCAAAAAGTACAACTACAACGATGCAACGGTATATTCCCGCGTGAGCAGCACTCTCTTGGCTCGATTCGCATCTGCGAGTTCATATGGCTTTGGGCATCACCACCGATTAGTTCAGGAGCATCCATAATGCCCCTATTGCACAAGCGTGCCACACTATTTAATGCATGTCCATTTCCTGCATCTAAACTCAGGCGCCTGAGTGATCATATTTGGATCGCAGATTTGGTCGATTTGGACGCGTGCTCTTGGTAGAGAGACAATCCCTATCTTCAAGACCAATACTAACATTTTTATCCGGACAGCTCTTTTGGTGTGCTTGCGCTCGTACGGCCAGCGGCCCGTCTCGTTATTTGCGTGGTGAACGATGCCACTTTCCACGTCTTCAGAGACGTGTATCCTTCAATGGTATTCAACTGAAAGAACTGAGAGACTAAAGTAGATCGCGTTGGGTTCCATGATGTTGTCCCGGAGCCGATGATATTTTAGGATGGAGTAGGGATGGGTGGAAACTCTTAAAATCCACAATTGGAAACGAATTTGGCATCGAATAGGAACAGACCGCATGTATTGTTATATAGGGAGAGCAGGAGACAAACTGCCATCTCAACACAATATAGCATGCTTTGGTGTACTCCCACTATTCAGGATATCAGCCTGCGAATTCCCAATCGACAAAACCAGATAGTTTATCATTATGTGTCAACACATTTGCTGGATTGAGGTCTGCATGCATGTTCAAAGAAGACATGATATATGATCGGGAACGAACATCTGTTATTTTGGCTCTATCAGTAGCATCTGGGACTGGGATTGGGCTACAGATTTTCACCTGATGGTTGTTCAGATCTGAGATGTTGTCATAGGGCCCAGTGCTGTCCTTCTCATTGTCAACTCGACAATCCTGACAGGCTCCACCGAGTGGGTTGGAGATCAAATGGGGGTATGGATTCGGAATCGATCGGATTTTTTTCCACATAATTTTCGAAAATCAATGATGAACTGTTGGTATTCATTGATGGAAGGTGTTTGCCTGCAATGTCGCCCTTGATGCGAGTTGTCACCGTGGAGCCTTTCTGCCCTGAAAGCATAATCAAATCAAGAACTCGTGGCGCATTCAGTGTCGTGTGTTTGGCAACCAGCTCAAGAGCCCGTGCTTCGTATTGGAGACGGCTAAACCAGGTCCGTTTGATATAGAGATTGAAAGGCAACTGTTGGGCATTGCGGGCACTGGAGGTCTCACGACCATTGAGCTATTCGCCAATTGGTATGAGACGACGGCAGAAGAGGAGACGGATTCGTCGTGGTATAAGACAGTGGAGCTGAGCTATCATTGCGGGAGACAGAAATGGGTCACTTAATTAGCGAAGCAATCATGATAAGAAGCAATCACAGGATGCATCAATGGCTGTATATTTAACCAAATGAAGAGTTCAGAGACGTGTGTGGAAAGAGAGACGGTTCAAATTTGTGAGCTTGGCAGACGTTTCTGCAAACATAAGTTAATCATAAATAGAAAAAGTAAATCTATTTCTCTAAAATTCTCGACTCCTACTGAATGCGATTTTTGTCGCTTCGCTCTCATGAAACCGTAAAAAATATTTGTTCTCGCCCATTACATGCTCATGCTTGATTTTCTATATATCACGCCAACATATATGCCAAGAGCAGAAGGAATGTTAAAAGAATAATTATCTTTGGCTAGTGGAATGCGTAGGTGTAGTTTGAGGAAGGGGCGGGAGGAGGTTTTTAGCCGCTTCTCGGGCATTTTGAGCCATCAACGCATCGATAACAACGAGGGACGCCATAGATTCGACTATGGGGACTGCTCGGGGAACGACACAAGGATCATGTCGGCCTTTAGCCTCAAGCACGCCCTCTTCGAAGTCATAGCTAGCCGTCGTTTGAGCCTGGCCAATTGTGGCGGGAGGTTTGAATGCGACCCGGAAGTATATTGATGCTCCATTTGAAATCCCTCCCTGTATACCACCCGAATTGTTAGTTTTGGTGGTTAATCTTTTCTGACCAGGTGTCTGTCCATTCTGGTTATCGGCGGTTGCGACGAATGGGTCATTATGAATGGAGCCTGGAATTTCACAGCCAAGGAACCCGGACCCGATCTCGAAGCCCTTTGTTGCCGGAATGGAAAGCATCGCGTGTGCAAGTTTGGCCTCGAGTTTGTCGAAGCATGGCTCCCCGAGCCCGACAGGAACATTTCTTATAACGCACGTCACGGTTCCGCCAATGCTATCGCTCTGATCTCGGAAAAGTTCGATGACTTTGGTCATGCGCTCCGCCGCTGCTTTTTCGGGACACCTTACGGGAGCGAAAGAGTCGACCGTTGGTCGGTCGATGTTAGCGATGAGTTTTAAGAATTCGGGGTTTGTTGTTGGGTTGGGGTGTGCCGCAGTCGGGGGGAAGAGATGCTCGTTTCCCACAGATGAAACAAAAGCGACAATTTCAATGTTGTGTGATAGATTAAGGTATTTCTCTGCAATAGCTCCCGCCGCAACCCGACCTGATAATTTGTGATGGTCAGCAACGGCAGTCCTGGCATTCACCTGCCCGCCCCCAAAAAAAGGCGCGAAAAATTCCAAGCTTCAATGCGAACATACCTATAGTTTCACGAGCGCTGCTTCTACCCCCGCCGCTACTAGCTTTCACACCGTATTTCTCCAAATAAGTGAAATCCGCATGGCTAGGGCGGGGATAAAGATCCATTGTGCTTCCACCATAGTCCTTGGGTCTCTGATCTTCGTTCCGGACAACCATACCAATTGGCGTGCCCAGAGTGATGCCAAATTCCGTCCCAGATTGTATTTCCACCTTATCTTTCTCGTTTCGAGGCGTGGTAAGAGCGCTTTGACCTGGCCGTCTGCGAGTCATCTGTGGTTGAATGTCCTCCTCGGTGAGGGCCATTCCTGGAGGGCAGCCATCCACAATGCAGCCAACGGACCGGCAATGGGACTCGCCATAGCTAGAAAATATCTTCAGATCAAGAGTAGAGGTGAAAATAAGAAGTCAATGCTTACGTCGTCACTCTGAAATATTCCCCGAATGTAGACATTGCGGCGCGGGGCTCTCAAACTGGAGGAGGGGCACCAAATAATTGGCGGCGGGAGTATTGCGCGAGCAACTTCTGATAGTTTAAGGTAACGCAATCCACCGGGTGATATATTGCCACTGTCACTAGATATATATATTCTATAATTTCTTAATATCGTCTTTCATTCTGAAGGCGAAAATAATTGTCATAGCCCCACTAATTGCAAAATAAAATTTCCCAGGCCATGATGTGGATGACTCAGCCCATGGATTGGAGCTCCGGCTGAACGTTGCCTATTCGGGCCTAGTTCTTTTGGTTCAACATCAACCAACAAATCCTGATGAAGTTTTGTATTTCGAGGGAGCGTTCCTTATTATGAGCTTGATATCCATCAATGCTTCCATTGCGCCTCCGCATGGACGCCCTTTGCAAATC